TGATGGAGTCACCCTCCAGTCTGGTGCGAGCTCCTTAACTTGAACACTGGTCTGTGGACCACATTTGAGAAGCACTGTTGAAGATGTTTTATGAAGTTAAGTGAATGAATGAATGGAATCTATCTAAGATGGATTAAATGGCTGTTTGAGTTGGGGTGGGAGGATGGAGAAGAGGATGGTGATTAAATAACATTTCTCTTTAAGCGGGACAATGTTCCTTGCCTGCTTTTGAGCTGCCACAGAGAGAGAAGGTTATTTAAGGCACACACAGCTTAAGTGACCACTGTTGTCCATACCACTACCATTCCCTATAAATGCATTTTCTCTTGATTCTTGCCCTTCCTCTTATTCTTATTTCCTCTTTTTCCATGTTTCTGGGATGGGATTTAAAGAAGAAAGACAAACAATATATGGAAAGCTCAGTGTATAATTTGTGTTTTGCACATAACATTTTCTCCATAACTAAGGAAAATATTATCACCTATTTTGTAACTCTTTAGAGGAATTCAGTGACTTGACTAGGTCTTGTAAATAAAGTGTCAGGCCTGACTGGGATTTGAACCCAGGTTTATCTGTCTGCTAGTTTCTTCCATAGGTGGTTTGGTCTCCTACTCTCACATCTGATGAGGATGCTAATAAAAACCAGGTCTGGGACAGACTAGTGCCCACACTGACACACTAATATTCCACTTAGGAGTTCTGAGGCTCCATTAGTTTCAGTCTCAGCATCTTTAATTGCCACAACCACTACCATGTATCTGTATTTGTGTTAGGTATTTCTGTGTCCTTGTAGGTCATGAATGCCTTCCTCTTATTCATTCTTGAATCCTTCACAAAAGCATGTGAAGGGCTGGTGATGTAGCTCAGGGGTAGAGTGCCTACCTTGCGTGCCCCAAATCCTGGTTTTGATCCCCCTCCCGAAAAAAAAGTGTATGGGGCTTTGAAAGCAGTATATGTGATACATTAAGTATGACAGTGGATAAAGTTACGTGAGAAGATAAATTGGATAGCATGACTGGATTATAGCTTTTAGAAACTCTCCTTGAGGACAGAAGCAGGTCTTTTATCATTTGTCCAATGCCTAGCCTAGTCCCTGGCATAGTTCCTATAATGAAAAATGTGTGGAATTGTTGAATATGCTTGTTCTCAGCATTTCCTCTTCAACTGCTGTTACTAGTGCTCACCATCAGCCTCCATGTAATTAGATTACTATTTGTCATCTGCTCCTGGTGTCCTCGTTCTGATGCAACATTTTCTTCTTCCACGTCTGCCTTCACTTGCTCCTGCTATGAATCAGGCACAATCCCAGGATCAGCAGCCCAGCTGGGGGAAGATCAGCATTGTGGGAGAAAGGGGACAGTGCTTTCTCCTGTGAATTCTCTCCAGTTTTCTTTACCCAGACTATGACAGACAACTGTGGAAGGATGTCTGTGCTGGAGTCTCTAAGAGTATCCCCAGGTTTGATGATTCACTAGGAAGATTCACAGAATTGAGCAACTAATTGTATGTATAGCTTCACTTACAGGAAAAGGATACAAAGAAGCAGCAAAATCAACAAAGAGTAAAGGCACATCATACAAAGTCTGGAGGAAATCAGATGTTAAGAGTCCAAGAGTCTTTTCTTAAAATAGTCACAAAAGAGACACTTAATTTCTGGAACACCAAATTGTGGCATGTATGAAATGGGTGGATTGGGGAATCTGATTAAAGGATTCAGTGTCCAAGGTTTTACTGGGAGTTAGTCATAAAGGCAGGCACAATTTGCTTAATACATTCCCAAATTCCAGATTCCCAGAAGAAAAGCAGGTGTTCAGCATGAACCATGTTGGCCCTCATCTCACCTCACATCTGGCCCCTGCAAAATTTAGACCTGTCCTGCAGGATGACAATGGACTAAGGCAAATTCAAGCAAGTGGCCCTGAATATAGCTGTTGTGCCAGATCTGATCTTTGCTAGAGCAGATTCACACAGCTATGGGTACATATTCTGTAACCATTGATCTGGTCAGTGCATGCTTTTCCATCCCTATTAAAGGATAAGGAATGTTCACATTCACATGGAATGAACAACAGTAAACATATACAGTCTTGCTCAAGGCTCTGTTAATGCTGTTACTTCTGTTTTAATCAGAAGAAACCTAGACCAGATAGACATTCTAAAGAGAATTACATAGCTTACTATGTTAATTCGAGGAGATGAGCAAGAAGTGACTAGTGAGCCAGGTGTGGTGGTGAATTACCACCAACACGTGGGAGTCTAAGGCAGAAGGATCATGAGTTTGAGGACAGCCTGGGTACACAGTGAATTCCAGGCCAGTCTGGGCTACATAACAAGACATTGTCTCATAAAAAGGCGGCGGGTGGGGTGGGGTGGGGTGGGAAACCAGTAAACTGGAGGCCTAGATAAAACACATGTTCTCTATAGGATCAGATAAATATCTACAAAACTTAGGACTTACAATATTAGTAAAATTTTGGGGGAGCTGTGTCCATTCATCTGGGGCATGCTAGGACATCCTCTCAAAAGTAAAGACAAATTATTAAAACTTGCATGCCCTACTGTGGAGTGGAAGCACAATGCTGGGCAGGCCTCTCTGGGTTCTGAAGGCAGCATATCTCACACTTGGAATACTGCTCTTTCCTGTATACTGGGTGACATGAAAAGGCTTACCCTTTTGAGAGGGCTCAATGGCCAGTTCATATTGTGAAGAGAGCCAGACTGCCACTCGAGTCATCTAACCCAGCAGAACCATATTAGTTATTGATGGAGGGAAAAGATGCAGGTGAAAGCAAACCTCTGCATATGTACCCTTCATTTCCCCTGCCTGTTTTATTGAATTACAGACACTATAAAAACTAATGACACATTACCAAGAAAAATATTTTATTTTTCAAATAATGGATTTTTTCACTTCTCAATTACTTCTGTAGAATTTCATCTTTTATTAAAACTAAATAAATATCTAGTATATTTAATCTTTTCTCAAATTAAAGACTATGGTATACTTGTAGTTATCTTTAGAAACCAGAGTCCATTTTTAGCAATTTACACTTGATATAGAGAACAATACCACATCAAGTCCTTTACTCTTGACTTGGTACTAATGTTGAACTGTGTATTGGTGTTCCAGGATCTAGAGGCTACTCCAAGCTTTAAAGCAAACTAGAGTCCTCAGGTCAGCTTTGGCTGCCTGAAAAACTTCTGGATGGGGTGACTTGGCTTTACTTTATACAGGACAGTTCTTCCCTGGAAGAAATGTGCTGAAGTTTCTGGGACAAAGGACTGGGGTATATATACTGTGATTAGGTATTTTTTGACCGGCAGGTGAGTGAGGACCCTGTTTTTTATGTAACCGTTTCTCCAGAAGAATAAAGAACAAATGGGCAGCTCCAGGTCCTTACAACAGTGTTGGAATTTGGAGATACTGTATTTGGACCCTTACTTTCCTGTTGACCACTAGCTTACTTTAATTTATATGCTTACAAATAGGATGAAGAAAAAAGTTTCCATCTCTATCAAAGTAAATAAATACTTTTCCATAAAACTAAGATTAAACTCAAACTTCTCATTAGAGTACCCATTATAAATTCAAAATTAAGTAACTAAACTAAGAAATAAGTAACTAATGAAAAACATTTTTAAGGTAACAAAAAAAATATGACCTCTGTGATTTCCTCTTAGCATAATGCTTATCTTTCAAATATGGATAAAATCTCATTTAGAAGGAAGGTTTGGAATCCTACATAAAAATATAACAGACATTAAAACACAGAAAATTCTTAAATACAAAAAAATTCAAGTGTCCATAACCTTTTTGATATTAATATAACACAAATAACATTATAATGAACAAATCAGCACAAAATGCAATTCACTTCTTATTGACAATGAAACAACTGACACTCAAGTGTAAGTACTGCAGCGTGGGCTTCTGAATAAGGCTCATATGTACATGTGCTTCAAGGAGCAGTGAGACTGTGGCCACTGGTTTTTATTCTAATCACAGCATTTATTTTCTTAATTTCTGTTGTTTTAGTAAGAAATTAGGAGAGAAGCCAAGTTTCTGACACTTTTAACTTGAACTTCTGATTCAAATTCCTTGAATCAGAAAATAGTTAAGACTTAATCTGTGGTTTTATATACCTATTTCTCTAAATAAAGCCTTTGAACAACAATCTACTCCTCTAATTCCCATGTTCACTGGAAGACCCCATGATCTTATAATTAAAAATATTAATTTTTAATGATTTCCTATATATTTTATGTTTTTTTAAAATGTCAGCAATATTACCTTTTTTTGGGGAGGCATCTGAAGACAGGGCCTGGCAGTTGCTGGGCAGGTGCTCTACCACTTGAGGCATGCCCACATACCTTTTTTGTTTTAGTTATTTTTCAGATAGGGTCTTGCATTTTTTTGGGAGGGGGGTGGGGTCTGGGGCCAGCCTTAGCCCATTATCCTCCTACCTATGCCTCCCACATAGCTGGGATTATAGATGTGTTCCACTATGGCCTACTTGTTTCGTTGAGATGGGGGTCTCAGTAACTTTTTACTTGGATTGGCTTCAAACTGTGATCCTCCCAATCTCTGACTCCCAAGTAGCTGAGATTCAGCAGTATTACTTAAAATTACCCTTTATTATTTTGCTTTAAAAAACTATTGTGGTTTACATATAGAAGTATTCATCATGACGAGGAATGATGAGCTGTACCGAAAAACAGACCTTGTAAGTGGTCTTTTTCAATCAGCTTTTAAAAATTTTAAAAGCCAACAAATCTTTGCTATATGTTGATATGTAGCATCAGTGCAATGGTATGCCTTGACAAAAAGATCCTTTAGAATTATGAATAAATAAAACACCCTGGGATGGAGCCAAGATGGACGTGAATTTAAATGAATTCTGCTTTGCAGTAAAATACACTTAATATTAAATTCAATGAACTCTCCTAAAGTATATACAAATAAAGATACTTGTTTTAAGTAAAAATCTGATGCTGTTGAAGTGTTCAGTTCCCACCACAATAGCTTAATGTGGTTAATTTGATGTAATTTATTCATTTTTGTGGAATTTTCTTGAGAGTTTAGCATCTTACCACAGTGACCTGTACTAGTTTAGGTCTATAAAAATGTAATTATCACAAGTTGCACAAAAACATGATAACTACCACATACTTCTGCACATCTTCAAAAAAGTCTCTGAACAACTATGATGCACAGTGCTCCAGAGGATCTAAAGAAGTGCTTTCAATGATGAGTATTATTTATTACTGGCACATGAGAATTATTTTCTAGAAGGCTCTATCAATGTCAATTTTAGGTAGAATATAACATAAAATTATTTCAGAAGATAATCTCATTCAATGCTCTCTTGACAACACTCCCAACAGAAAGCATCCAATCTACTTGCTGTTTCTTGGCTGATTAGACATTCATCCTTTAATTCACTGATTGTCTTCCTCAAAGATTTTTGGAAATGTTTTTCTCGGTCTAAAACATTCCGTAGACTTTCCTTGGTATTCTCTAGCTCGCTGATCACATGATCTAATTTATGCTTAAGCTTCTTTGGACTGTCCATTACACTGTAGCTATGTTCCTAAAAATAAAAACAGCAGCAGCAGGTTATTAAATCAGACAGACAAGTAGTTAGATAAAAGCATGACTAAGCTTCAGCTGTTTCTTCATTTATGATACTTAGAGAAGATCTCTAAGTTGGTGATATCAAGAGGCTTAAAGAATACAGGAAAAAGAGGGGGTAAAAGCAATATTGAGGATGCCTGTGTGTCTCTCTTTTTTCTAGTGCTAGGCAAACGACAGGAGTGCAAAACAGTGCAGATGCGAACCCTCAGATGAGGGTTCCCATCTGCTATGAGCATGCAGCTGACACCTGCAATGTCTGTTGACACCTGCAACAACCACACAGCTTTTGTTCCTTAAATGTGGCACTAATAAGCTTAATTTTTATCTTTCAAACGAATTTTAAATTGTTAAAGTTACTTTACTTTAAAACAGATGACAGGAAAAGAACCCTGGAGCAGGTCCTCAGGCTGGGTGTTAGGAATTTGGAGAGGACTCTGGTCTTGGAATTTGGAAGAGATAATCTAACCTCTTTCAATATTTATTATGGGTTTGCACTGGTTTGCTGGATAGATATATGTATGTACACACACATACACATATATACATATATATGTATATTCATTTTCATTTGAAAATAGGAACAATAATATTGACATATCTTATAAAGGTACCATAAAATAATTTTGAAAAGCTGTTATTTAATGTTAAAATTAGTGAGGAGGACTTTTGCTTCTAGTCAAGATGAAAAAAGAGAGACAGATTGATTCCTATCTAAAAGAACCAATGCATGATCAAAAGACTTAAACACTGTTTTGAAGTTAAATGGATATCAGGTAAGGAAGGTAGTTATGGGAAGATGGGAAACAGGCAAGCTCTATTACTGCCCCAGTTACTGCCTTACAAGAGTTTGTAGGCTGCAGTGAAAGGAGCGGAAATTCACACAGAGCTTGGCAGACTGAGTTGAAGAAATAGCGCAAAACAATGTGGCCTAGGACAAAGTACTAGGGAGGAGCTAGCTGCAAAGAGACAATTCTGGAGATTTCCAGTGGCTCCTCCTGGAGTACTGTACTGAGTTAAGACAAGCATGTGCATGTGAGGAAACTACCCAAGGCTGACAGTGTGTGAGAAGAACAATTAGGAAAAATTCTGAGTACTCTGAGCTCACAGGGCATAGACACGATTTCTACTAGCCAGAAACTAGCTGGAAACTTCAGGACTCATGGAGCATTCAGTAGACTACACAAAAAGGTCCTGCCTCAGTAGTAGATAACCAATAGCCCTAGATTGAACACTATTCTGATATTGACAAGCAAAGCAAAATCTGGAAGGATCAAACTATTTCCAAGTAACTACTACTGAACAATAATGCTCAAGAAAATAGAATACAAAATATCTGGCATTTGGAAAATTAAAATCTGCAACATATGGCCAGAATTTAACAAGCATGTAAATGAGCAGAAAAATATTAGCCATAAGAGCTAAATCAATCAATGAAAACTGACCCAGAACTGACACAAATGTTAGAACTAACAGACATGGGAATTGAGCGGCTCAAGTAGCAGGGTATCTGCCTAGCAAGCGTGCAGCCCTGAGTTCAAACTCTAATACTGCCAAAACCAAAAACCCAAATCTATTCCATACATTAAAAAAGTTAAGTAGATTCTGTGTTCCCCAAGTACCATTTTCAGTTGAAATGTGGAAACGTGGCTCAACAAGGGTGTTTTTGTTGCAGGCAGTTGAATGGATGCTCTGGGACAGACAATTAAATATTTATAATAAATTCCTGTAAACCATAAAAAAGTTAAGTAGTGATGTGAAAGATCTAACATAGATTAAAACAGAACATCTATAGATAAAATTATATTATGTGGATGAAAATACATTGGAGAGAATGGCAGATTAGACATTTCAGAAGAAAAGATTAGTAGATGTAAACATGAGTAGGAAGTAAGCAGAACACAGAAAAGAATAGTAAAAAAAACAAAACACCAAGTACAGCAAGCTGTAGCACAACTTTACACACCGAGTATATCATTGGAATCCCCTTACTAAAGAGAAGAAAAGTTGGAATAGAAAGAAATATTCTAACAAATCCTGCCCCAAATCTTTCCAAGTCTGATGACATATTTAAGCACAAAGATAAAAACCCAAAAACCTCAAAAATCCCAAGCACATGAGACATGAAGAAAACATAATCAGATTAGTGAAACTAGTGCAAAGATTTTTTTTGGGGGGTGGGCATCAGGGTCTTGCTATGTAGCTTCCTCGAACTCTCTATTCTCTTGTCTCAGCCTCCTGAGTGCTGGGATTATAGATGTGCACCACCATTCCCAGCTTAAGACAAACTTTTAAAAGAAAAAAAAAAAGACAAGTATGACAGATTTTTACTTAGAAATAATGCATGTGAAAACACAGTAGAGTAACATCTTTAAAAATACTAAGAACAAAAAACTTAAGTCTATCAGCCTAGAACTTACTACCTAGTGAAAATGACTTTCAAAAATTAAGACTAAATAATGACCTTTTCAGACACAGAAATTTGAAAGAATTCATCACCAGCATAGCTGCACCATAAAAAAACGTTAATGTAAGTCCTTCAAGCAAAATAAAAGCAGATGGAAATATGGGCTTAAATAAAGAACTGAAAAGCTATAAAAATGGCAACTACACGAACAACATGTAAGGTTTTTTTCTTCTTAATCTCTTTAAAAGATAATTTATTTAAATAAAAATAACAATACAGTGTGTTGTTTATACCATATGTGAAAATATATGGCAGCAATAGCACAGAGGTTGAGAAAGGAGAAAGTATACTATTTCAAAATTCTTATATATATGTAAAGTGGAATATTGTTTGAATGTAGCCTATAATAAGTTAAAGATGGGGTGTAAGCCTATAAATGACTACTAAAATAAAAGAGATATAGCTAATGAGTCTAAAAATGAGATAAATGAGCTAAAAATTATTCATTAAGTTGGGTGTGGTGGCCTCTAATTCTAGCATTCAGGAAGTTGAGGCAGGAGGACTGCAAGTTCAAGATCAGCCTGGGCTACTTACTGAGACTCTGTCTCAAAAAAACTATTCAATTAATCCAAAGGAAGTAGAAAAAGAAGAAAACTGGACAAATAAGAAACAAATAGGAAAATGACAGATTGAATCTTAACTGTACCAATCATCACATTAAGTGTTGAGCGGTCCAAACAACTCAAGTAGAAGACAGAGATGGTTAAGTAGGATAAAAAAAAAAAAAGAACAAGACTCAAAAGTATATGCTGCCTTTAAAAATGCACTTGAAAGATAAATAAAAACACTAAGAAGAAAGAGGGCTACAGTTGGGTAATATCAGACAAACTCAGATTAAGAGCAATGAAGATCATTTCTTAGTAATAAAGTGGCTAATTTATCAAGTTCTAACAATTTTAAATGTTTATGTATCTGATAACGATGCTTCAAAATATAAAAACCCAATTACAAGTAAGGCTGTCTTATTTGCAGATTTATGACACATGGTTTTGATCAAGTGTCAAAAAATAATAAAAGTAATCAGAAGAAATTTCAAAGACAAAAATTTCAGCTGGCAGAGTGGCTTAAGGGATAGAACACCTGCCTAGCAAGTGTGAAATCCTGAGTTCAACCCCCAGTACAACTGAAAAAAAAAAAATTCAAATTCCCACATAAGCATTATACAGCTCAGTTGGTAGGAGAAGCTCTGTTAGTTCTGTGTTATCATTAGTTGTGTTTAGTTTAAATTGTTGTATGATCTGAGTATTTTTGTTTTCCTGCCCTAAATTTTGTGAAAATATGCCTCCTGAAAAGCAATGGTACCCAAAAAGCAAGGTAAAAGCTAATGTGCTTTACTGAAGTGATAATTGCATTTTATAATGAAAATTTTAGATTTGTTGAAAGGTGGCATGCCTTTAAGTGGAAGTTGGGCAGTGTCATGGAAAAAATGAATTAAGCATTCAGTACTGTACTGTGTACTGTGTACAGTACTAAACTATGCATCCTGAGCATTCAGTTTTTCCTCAATGGCAGTCTTCTTGGGACCATGTATACCTGTGGATACCCAGGGTCTACTATACTGGTAACTGCAAGAAAAGTTAGACAAATCTATAATTATACTATAAGATTTTAACAACCCTCTCAAAATAAAGGAGACAGAAATTCAATAATGATAAAGAAGCTTTAGAGAACACCATTAAATAACTTGACCTAATTGATATTTATAGTACATTCTAGGTAATCCAGCAGAATGCATACTCATCTGTTATAAAATCACACAGAACATTTACCGAGGCAGATCATATTCTGGGTTATAAAATATATGTCAATAAATACAGCAGGATTCAAGCTATACTATGTATATCTGCTGGCCACAAAAGAATTAAGTTAGAAATTAGTAATAGATATGAAGAAAATCCCCAATATTTGGAAACTATATAACACAACTGTAAATAACCCATGGATGAAAGAACAAATTAAAATAGAATTTGAAAATATGATTAAATGAATGACAATGAAAACACAGCACATTTGTGGAATGCAATACTTTAGGGAGAAACTAATTCCATTAAACTAATACCACTAGAGCAATACTTAGGGAGCGATTCATACCACTGAATACCTATACCAGAACAAAGTCTCAAATAGTGACTTGAGCTTCCACCTTAACTAGAAAAAGATGAGCAAATTTTATTGAGATAAGTAGAAAAAAGGAAAATAATAGAGAAGAATGGAAACCAGTGAGAAGGAAAATCAATAATAGTGAGTTCTTTGACAAGATCAACAAAATTATTAGATTTCTAGGTAGACTGATCAGCAATATTAAGAGAACAGAAACAAATTACAGAAATTATCAGGAATGAGTGGTATGATAGTGCTCGCTAAAATTCTACAGATATTAAAAGGATTAATAAGGAAATGTTATGAATAACCTTAGGTTAATAAGGTTCATCACAGTTTGTCAACTGATGAAATGGGCAAATTCTTTGGAAGCCATAATCTACTCAATTTTTTTTTCTCACAAACTATAGGTCCAGATAGCTTCACTGGAGTCTATCAAATATTTTTAAAATAAATAGTACCATTCTAAACAAACTTTTCCAGAAAACTGAAAAAATTAGCAATATTTTCCAGCTAATTTTTTGAGGTATTATTCAGATATTGAAACCAAATATCCCTCTTGAACAAACAAGAAAGATTAAATAAAAACTTAACAAACTGAATCCTCAGTATATAAAAGGGATAATGCATCATGAAGTAAGGTTTATTTTAGGCATAAAAGTCTGGTTTAATATTTGAAAAATCAACCAATATACATCGTATTAACAAACTAAAAAAAGAAAAAGTATCAACACCCAATACAGGAAGCACTTAACAAAACTAATATCCATTCTGATAAAAACTCTAAGCAGACCAGGAACAGAAGGGCACTTCCTTGACCCGATAAAAGGCATTTATGAAAAACCTATAGCTAAGATGACATTGAACAGTGATAGACCTTCTGCTCCCTAAAATCAGGAACAAGGATGGAAATCAGTTCTTAGTACTTATATTCGGCATAGTCTTGGAGGTTCAAGGTAGTACAATAAGGCAAGAGAAAGAAATAAAAGGCATCCATATTAGAAAGGAAGAATAAAAACCATCTTTAGTCACAGAGAACATGATCTATGTAGACAGTATAATTCCTGCTACAAAACTGCTATAATTAATATTTGAGTTCAGCAAGTCTGCCAGATTCAAGATCAACAGACAAAAAAAGTCAACCACATTGCCACATTCCAGCAGCAAACAAAATAATACCATTTATATGACAATACATACAAAATACTAAGGTATAAATCTGACAAAGTGAATGAGAATGACAAAACAAGGCTGACAGTGTTAAAGCCTAAATAAAAGATATTCTGAGTTCATGTGTTGAAAGACTTACTATTATTAAGATGTCAATTCTTCCCACATGAATCTATACACTCAACACAAAACTATTCAAAGTTCCATTTGGTTTTTGGAGGAAATTTACAAAGCGATTCTAAAGTTCATATAAAAATGCAATGAATCTAGAATAGCTGAAAACAACTTTGAAAAAGAATAGAGTAGGAGGACTAACTCTGTCCGATTTGAGAATTATTACAAAGCCAGGTCGGGCTTTAACATGAATAAACAACAGATGAATAAATAAATATAAACTTGAATACTCTATATTGTACATGATTGTTTTTCAAGACATCCTAAAGCTATAGCTGTTTTTATTTCCATACAGAAATAAATTAAAGTGAAGAATTAAATTATTTTCTTGGTAGAAATATCCTTGAGAAAGTATTTTTCAAACTACATATGTACCCAAAGGATTAAGAACTTCTATATTGTTTTTGTATACAAATGAATTACAATGACTTTGGGAAGCAACAATATTTGGAGATACTACATATTAAAAAAAAAAACAAAAAAACCTCAAGCATCTAAATCTCTAGGTTTTTGCTAAGATTCTGACAAGTTTGATCCTAATGGAGAGGTTAAATTCATCTTCAAAGCATTTACAATTCAGTAATTTTACTTACAAAAATGAACTGGGATTGGAATTCTTCAATACATGAGGAAGCACCAACAAACCGGTGACTGTGGCTTGTGACTGGAAGGGTTTTGAAGGTGAAGTTTTTTCTACAATGAAACGTTTCTCTTTTCTCCTGTTAAGAACAGTTAATAACAATCACTGAGATACTCTATGTTTTCTTGGAGGTTTATTCCTTCTTTTAACTTCATGTAATGAAATTAATACCACATTTTTTTTCATGAAAATTGCTTTTACAAGTCAGTAAATCCCACTCAGATTACTTTTAAAGAATTTCTTTAAAACAACTCTATAGTTCATCTAGAAACACAAATTTTCCTAAAAAAGAAGAGTGATAATGAGAGAGGTTATTCCCTAACAGCTATTAAAAATACAGGACACAATTGTAATAGCTAAAATAGTGTGCTACTTTCTTAGGACTAGAAAGAAAAACTTAGAAATAGATCAAGTAAATAATGCCTTTAAGATAAAAGTGGCATTCTAAATAAGAGAAAGTCTATAAATCATGTTGTAAAAATCAACTAAGAAAAGCAGTTTTGTGTTTTAGAGATAATAAACCACAATGAAATTCTATGTGCTAAAAATATATGTAAAAATGAAAACCACGAGGAGCTAGAAAAAATAGGGAATAGTTATATCTTAAGATAGTGATGGAGAAAATCATAGAAAAGAAAAAAATACAAAGTGTGAGTTTAAAAACATGTATCAATGCCATAATCAGAACTAAAGGCAAACAACTGCAATACAGGCAGCAGTTGAATGATTCTTATCCTCAATATTTTACAAAATAGCCTAGAAAAAGATGACAAAGAGGACCAGAGGTTGGGGATGTAGCTCAGTGTATGAACATTTGCTTAGCATGCACAAGACTCTGGGTTCACTCCCCAGTACCACAAAATAAAACAAAATAAAACCTTGCCAGAAGAGGTCCTGAATAAGGAACTCATAAGAAATATAAATGTACAATAAACAAATAATAAGCCATTTTTTGGCTATCAATTTTAGCAATGGTTAAGAACACAACTTATGCCAAAGATTAGGGTAAATACTTTTATACAGTTAGTGGGGAAGAAAGTGCAAGCTTTCTAGTCAATCTTTAGAAGAGCTATACCAAAAGCAAAACTTTAAAAAATCTCTACAATCTCAGTGGCCCATGCCTATAATCCTAAATACTTGGGAGGCTGAGATACAGAGTATCATAGCTCAAGGCCAGTCTGGGAAAAAAGCTCCCAAGATCCCATCTCAACCAATAGCAGGGTCTGGTGGCACGCATCTGTCATTACAAGCTACATGGGAATCTGTGATCAGGAGGATCAAAGTTCCAGGCCAGACTGGGCAAAGAAGTCTGAAGACCATCTTAACAGAAAATAGTCTGTGGTGGTGTGTGCTCATCATCTCAGCTATGGCAGGAAGGGTAGAATAAAAAGGGATGTGGTTTAGGCAGGTCTGGGCAAAAAGCAAGACCGTATCTCAAAAATAATCAGAGGGGAAAAAAAGAGACATAGCTCAAGTGGTAGAGCACTTGCCTAGCAAGCATAAAGCCTAGAGTTCAAACCCTAGTAACACCAAAAAAAAAAAAAAAAAAAAAAAAACAAAAAACCCCCAAAAACCCCAAAACTCTATAATCTTTGACTCAACAGTTTTATTTCTAGAATTAATTTCAGGGAAATAAGGATATGAATAGGATTTACCTGCAGCAATAGTAATTTTGGGTTGTTTATAATATTAAAAGATAACCTGTATATACCAATGAGTACTTATTTTTTTTTTTTTTTATGAAACTACTGGTCACACGTAGGATCAATGTCATTACAAAAGTCCTATAAAACTGACATCATCAAGTATTGGGAAGAATATGGAAACCAGAGAAATTTTATATGCTGATGGTGGCAGTATAAATTTGCAAACCACTTTGGAAAACTATGGCAATATCTACCCAAACTGAACATATTCATCCCTGGATGTAGCAATTCTCATTCTAACAGAAGCATATTTGTATTACACAAAATGTATACGTAAGTGCACCAAAAGACACAGACAAAAATGTTCACAGTGACCTATTCATAATAGTTTCAAAGTGAAAAACAACCCAAATGTTTATGAAGAGCAAAGTGGAGAAATTAGTTTATTAATATGATAGACTATTGCATAGCAAAGAAAATAAATGGACAACTATCACTTGCCATCTGGATAAATCACACAAAAAGTTTGAGTTCATACTGTAGGTAGGACTCCATTTACACAACTGGTAAGAGACGGAAGTCAGGACAATAGCTATCTTTAAGGGGGTAGTGATTGGGAAAGACTATAAGGGAGGTTTCTAAGGCACTGGCAATGGTCTAAGGGGAGTAACATGGGTGTATTCATGCATGAAAATCCAGTGATTTGTACACTTATGATGTACTTTTTCATGCATACATCCATGTTTTTAAATTAAACTATATATTTAATTAAAGTTGCAACACAATCTTTGGGTGCTTGTAATGATTCATACCTGTAATCCTAGCTATTTGGGAGGCTAAAATCAAGAGGATCGTGGTTTGAGGCAATCCTGGGCAAATAGTTTACCAAAATAACCAGAGCAAAATGGACTGGAGGTATGGCTCAAGTGGTAGAGTGTCTGCTTTGCAAGCATGAAGTCATGAGTTCAAACCTCAGTCCCACCAAAAAAAAAAAAAAAAAAAAAAAAAGTGTGGATGCCTGGACTCCAACCTAAACTGAATTAAATACAAATTGTGAATCTTTGGGATTGGGGCACAGGGTTCTGTATTTTAAACTAACCAATGTCATGGAGAGTAGCAGCTAAGAGTAGACTCTGGAGCCAAAACGCCTGGGTTCAAATTTAGTATCTGCCATTTAATGGGTGTGTGATCCTGGGGAAGGCATTTCAGCTCTCTGGGCCTCAGTTTCCCTAAGTGACAAAAATGAGAATAAAAGTTCTCAGGGACAAAAGGGTTTGATATATATGTAAAGTGCATAGAATAGTGCCTGAAAGACAGCAAGTACTATATAACATAAAAACAAAAAGCAGCTAAAGGACATACAGTATAATTTTTTTACAAGATTACCTACATAAATATTGATGAGTTTATACAAAATGATTTTACAAATGATTGGAAAACTATAGTACACAATATTCTCTCTGAATTATCTATTTTTATTTTTGATTTTATCATATAATGTCCTGTAACAAATTATAATAAAATCTGTTATAAGGAAATAGTTCTTGAAAATCAACATATATGTTTATTTGATTTATTATGACGTTTCTTAAAGTCTTCTTTATACTATAGCTAGAAGATACCCTGTTGGTAGGAAAAAACAAACCGATTGCATAGATTTTGTACATTTATTAATACAGAAATGAAGCAATCTACTTAATCACTCCAGCACTGCAAATATGACCACTGCACAAGTGACCAAGACAGCATGGGGGCAGGTGCGCTTCTGGACTATTTCTTTTGTTTCTAGTTGTCAGGAAGAAGACACCTGTTAATGTTGGCTCTCCTTAAATTTTTCACCTTAGAATCAATCAATCAATCCATAGTTGTTAGAAGCAAATACATTCTCAGATATACAAAGTCAAAAGAGACACTAAATGTAAAGCAGCCAGTCCCGAGGAAAAATAGAATTCAACTAAAGCTTACTTACTCAACCCTTCTATTTTTTTTTTTTTTTTTTTTGTTGACCTCTTGTTTTCTTCTCCTGTTCTTATCTTTCTTGATTTCTGACTTTTGGGCCTACCAAGGTTTTAACCTTGTGGCTATTCTTAGAAGTATACTTGGGTCCTGTTAACAGTTTTGTTCTTGAATTCTTGAGGACTGCCAATCTGAAACTTCAGTTCAATCTTCTTATGTTAAACTCCATTTTTTAGAGATAAATCTTAAGTTATGCCAATTCCTAAAGTCAGTCCACTTTACCCAACTTTAGCAATACACCAATATTTATGAGAGGCTACTGGCAAAATACTTGTGCTACACATTATGAATGCTGAAATCACCCTCTACAAATTTAAAAACTAAAAGAATGTACTTCAAATAAATAAGCAAACAATATAAACGCAGCCAAGAGTGTTGAAGATTCATGAGAAGTACCATAGAAAGTGAGTATTGATGGTAAGCAGTATCTCATAAACAAACCTGTAAGTGATATGGGGAATCAAAGATAGAAGGGATGACTCCAGGTTTTAGTTTAATATTTGGAGCACTTCTGTCAAAATCAGTCTTCTTAAAGTGCCTTGAACACAACACATCTCCTTTTTTAGGCTCCCAAATGCCTGCAGCATTCACATCAAGTCTTTTCATTGCTAATACCCACTTTCTTTTGATGTTTTCATCTGTGGGGAACCTAGAAAAGAATTTAAAAAATATTTTAAAACCAAATACTATTAACACATATGTGAATTAAAGCTGTCCTATGTGAAAGGGCTAAAATGATTTCTATGATTTCTTAATTAGAATCATTTCTTTCGGGAACTGTGATATTCGGAAAAAGCCTAATTCATGATTGTGTAACTCAATTTTAATATTCAGATTTTTTTTTGGCCCATAATTCTTCAGATACACGGCCTTCATTTCAATTTTTATCATATTATACGGAATAAAAGTATCAATGAACATTTAGTGCCTTATAGTATGATCCATGATTGAATTTTTCTTCATCTATAGATGACAAAGAGTATCACTTGGCATAGTACAGGGCGTGGCACAAAAGCAGCAACATCTTTAGCAAATGAAGAAGTAATAAATTCTACTACTCCTTTCCTATGGCTGTCAGGGGAATGGCTAAAATACTAAATTAGGGCCATCTTGATTATCTGCAGTACAATTAAATAACCCTTGGTCTGAATTTGTAATTTCTTTATTCTAAATAGAAAGGACAGATATTTGAGCAAAAAGCCTTCATTCAGATTGTAAGCTACAAGTAAACAACACCGAACTTCTTTAAAGAAGAAAATATAATGTTAAAATACAAAATAATATTAGTAAAAGTGAGTTTGATTTTTTTTGGGGGGGGAAGCAGGACTGGGGTTTGAACTCAGGGCCTTTCACTTGCTAGGCAGGCGCTCCACCACTTGGGCTGCACCCCAGGTCTTTTCCTTTAACTATTTTTCAGTAAGGTCTTGTGTTTTTTGTCAGGGGGGCGCACTGATCCTCATACTTATGCCTTCTGTGTAGCAGGAAGGACAGGTGTGCACCACCATGCTGGTATTTTTTTTGTTGGAGTCTCCCTAACTTTTGCTTGGGCTGGCCTTGAACACCATTCCTCCCAATCCCTGCCTCTCTAGTAACTGAGATTACAGACATGAGCCACCCCATGGCTCATGATTGGTATTTTTTGTTAACCAATCTAATTCCTTGTCAGCTATCTTCAGACTTTTGCACATAATTATAAAAGTATAAATCTATCACTGTCACTTCAAATTTAACAAAACGTTATTTAAAAAATAACTTGGGAACTGAAGTTCAAGACTGAAGACTCAAGTACAACTGTCCACTTTTTACAGCAGTTAAAAAGTACTTGGCCAACCAAAACAAAGTCTTACACATGAAATGTCAGTCCTTTTAACTTGGAATTTGGCAAACAGCGAGAAGCACATCCAATGGCCGAGCAACATTTCACCATGATTTTAGCAACTCATAACAGAACTGAAAGAAAATTAAAATGATAAAGAGTTAGTAACTTCAAAGCTAAAGCCAAAGTATTATCTTCCAACATCTGCAGTTTAACTCAAGAAAGAATTCTAAGGGTATGGCATTTTAGCTATGCTCCTGGGATGTGGGGGCTAAAATTTCAATTTTGTAGGCTTGCACGTTTGTCCTCCATCTCCTTCTGCACTGTCACAAAACCTGTGCACATAACCTGCTCCCGCTACTCACCTTTCATCTCCACAATCTGCTGCCCCAGAGAAACTTTTCCTGACGTCTGATTGTCAGATCGCCTCTAATCCCAGTTCTCTTAGAACACACCCTTCTCTTTACAACCATTTCTCCAAGTTGTAATCTTAGGTTTTTTGCAGTGATTTTCTGATTAATGTCTTTCTTCCCCACCCGTCTGTGAGTTTCATCAGGGCATGGCAGGCGTACCTATTTTTTTTTTTTTTCACTTTGTCTTCACGGCTTAGCTGGTGACTGGCACAGGGTAAATGCTACTACCTATTTGGAATGAAGAGCTAAGCAGGAACCAACAGGGAACGCGAGCACCAGCGGCTCGCGGCTGCCGCGAGCGCCCAGCGTGGCGCTCCCAGCCCGGGGCTACGCTCCGCCCCTTTCTCGCCGGGGTACGAGGGAGGGGCCGTCTAGTCACAGGTGCGGCTGTGGCGGGAGCGCGGCCCTTCCGCGAGGGCCGCCCGGCGGCCTGTCTGCGCCGCTGCGATCCTCCTCGCCCCAACCACGCCCTGACATCTGGGCGGGCAGCGATGTGGGGTAAAGAACCAACCTAAGAGTTATTACCGTTAGCAGCGAGGACGGCAACTAACGTCGACGACAGAGATTGCGTGCCCCTTCGCTTCCGCCCCGTCGCTCCGGGAACCGGAAATCCGAGTGCCCCGAGTCACGTGCTCCGCCGCCAGCCCGAGTCTAGTAGCAGCTGTCCGGGGGAGGAGGCGTGTTAGAGCGGCGCTGCTTCTCTGGGCGTGGTTTCCAACCTGGGGGAAGGGTCTGTGGCGTGTGAGGGGAAGGTGGAAGAGATGGCGACGGTGGCGCGGGAAGATGGCGTCCACAGCCAAGAGAGAAAGCCGCGGGGCTGTGAGCACTATGACAGAGGATGCCTCCTGAAGGTGACGACTTCAAAGGGCTCTTCCTCTACGAGTTTCCGCCGGGGCAGGCTGGGAGCGGAGGGGGCAGGCGGTTAGGTTGGGTTGAAGTTTGAGCCTAAGGTGTCAGGAAACCTCCATCTGGAACTGGGTTTCTTTTTTTGCAAAGAACGTTTGGCAGGGCCATCATAAGCACCAGCGTGCCTCCCTGCTTGGTACTTTGCAAGCAGGGCGTTCTTGTTTCCCAAAATCTTGGGCTTGCACATAGTCTCTTTACGAGCGAGTGAGTTCGTTTTGTGCTACCGGAAGTAGACTGAGGCAAAGCCAGGCCCGCCCTAGGCTTTTCTGTAGGGCCATCTTCAGGTGTTGTGATGAACTGATGAAAAGAGGATAAGCAGCTGGAGAGGCGCAGTGCGATTTCAGCTGCTGTCGTAAATAAATCTTACAGTCTGCCGGGTTCATTTTGGAGTCAGTGTGTATGCCCAGACCTGTCAAGGAGAAAATCTATGTGTGATGTGGAAGATAATCATGTAATTGTCATTAAATTAGAAATTAGGTATGGAAAAGTGCCCAGCGCATAAGTTAACATTTGCTGCTTCCTTTGACAAGACTTTCTGGTCAATGGAGTTTTAGTTAGTTATTTAAATTGGCACTCATACACCTAAAGTTTCCTGATTTTTCTTTCAAGAAGCTGAGAAGGCTTGAGATTTGGGTTTGGGGTGCGGGTAGCTCAGAGGTGGAGCATGTGCTAAATACGCAACAGGTCCTGAGTTCAGTCCCTGGCAGTTCTTCTCTCAAAAGAAAGCAAGCTTGAGCTTTGGAATCCTACAGCCTTATCCCCAAACTTAGCTCTGCCTCTTAACTGCTATGAGATTGTTGAGCAAGCAGCTTTTTAAAGTACCCCATATGTAAAATAGGGATTTTATAAGTTTTCCTTTCAAAACAATATGAGGATCACATATTAAAGTGCATGTGAAGTGTTCAGCAGTTTCATTTCCTGGAGTAGTAAATGTTAACTACCACCACCACCACCCCGCTCATCAACATCATCTTTTTTTTTTTGGCAACTTCCTTTACTAGTCAGTCCTGCTGGTCACTGACTAGAGTAATTACAGGCAAGTAAGTGATAGTCTCAGGCCTGCAAGGACAACCTAACCCTTTACTCGGCTGTAGTTTGGTGCACATTGTTTCACTGCTCTTTCAAAGATGATTACTCACTAAATGTTGTGTAACGAATTAAATGTTATCCTTGTGATTACATTTCTACTGAGATATTCACTAAAATTTGAGGTCTAGAACTGAATTTAACATACTGCCCTCCACTCACCACTCCAAAAAAAAAAAAAAAAAAACCCCAAAAAAACCCAAACACAAACTAAATCTGTGTTTCACAGCTCTAAGATACCTCTCTGAACGATAAATACTTTTCTACTGCTGCCCTTCCCCATAGCCAAGTGAAGAGTTTCAAGGAAGAAGTGATCAAGTGCAAGTGTTAAAAGATAAGCGCTAAGAATTGACCTTTGAATTTGGCAAGGTGGAGGTCACTAGTGATCTTGACAAGAGAAGTATCAATGGAGAGATCACACTGGGATAAAACCTGATTGGAGTGGATACTGGAAATAGCATCTAGAGAAAATTTTGGTAATCTTGCTGTAAGGAGAGTCTCCCCCACTTCTCTTTACCTTCCCACCCAAAAAAAATGAGGCCATGGTTGCTGAAAAGTGTGGGATCATGGGATTTTTTTTCCCCCTTTAAGATATGAGGTATTACAATATGTTTGTATATTATTAGAAATGATCTAATAGAGAACATTTTTTTAACGCAGGAGGAAGTACTGTAGGGGTACTGCCCTTGAGTAGTCAAAGGGGAAAAAATCCAGTGCATATGTGGAAAATTTAGTCTTAGAAACAAGCATGGACTGACTAGTTCTTTGAAAAAGAAGAGAAGGCAGGAGATAAGGCACATTTGCAAATAGGTTGACGGTTTGTGAGAAGATGTTTTCTTCTGAAAACAGAGTGTTAAGAAGGAGGAAGAGGTGTTAAAGAGTTTTAAAGAGAGAGGAGATGTGAAATGATGATCCAGATTTTAGGTCTTGAAAACTCTGGATGAATAAGGGAATTGACTAAGGAACTATGGTTAAGGGTTCACTTTTTATGGGTGCTTAGGACTTAAAAGTGAGACCAGACAATATGGCGATGTTATTTCTGGCATGTTGAGTAGAAGAGTGTTGGATTTAACCAGGGTTGGAATTTGGGTAGGTGGGAATTTTGTTAGGAAGAGAGGAGTAACGGTATATGCAAGGGAAGACTTGGAATAGTTGAACAGAGGAGAGTTAGTGCTTAGAGAATTTCATGCTTGGAATTGAGATACAAAGAGGCTGCAGTCCTGGTTTGGGTGTAGTAGCTCTCAAAATGTGATGAATGGACCTCCAGGAATCCATGAGGCTATGAAGTCAAAACTACTTTCTGGAAATACTAAGATATTTATCCAGTGTGTTGACATTTGCAGTGCTGGTGGAAAAGGAATGATTAAAATTGTTAGATTCTATGCGTGAATTAAGGCATTGATTCTGTACTGTTGAATATAGTGCACTGAACTACACTATACTTGTAGTTAAAAAAAAAAAGCCAGTTTCACTTAAAAATATCATTGATGAAGCAGTAAAGTTATTGATATTTATCAAATCTCGAATCTTGAGTGCATGTCTTTTTCATATCCTGTTGACAAAATAGGAAGTTACATCAAGCATTGGTTGTCTTGTGAAAAGTTCTTGTGTAATTGGATTATAAAAGGAACTACTTGCTTCTTTCATTGAACTTTTTTTTTTTCTTGAAAAACTGTGATCAGAGTTGGGTATTTGGCAGACATTTTCTCAAAAAGGAAGCAATCAAGACTCATTACAAGGGAAAAACTGACAGTTTTTGTTGCCAGCCATAAAATTGCTGCAAAAACTAGAATTTTGGAAAACTCCTTTGAGCTTGGAAACTTCCCAGTACCTAAAGACTCCTAACACATGTGACTTTTGATTGCATGTCAAATGTGTGAACATTTGGAAGATCTACATAACTCAGTGAACTGATATTTTCCAAATGAGTAAAAGACACATTCCAAGTGCAAGACAGATCAATGGATTTTGTAAGGAAATGTGGGCCCCAAAATGACCACGTGGAGAGGAGTGATCTGGCCAAGAGATTCTTTATTGCGGGGTGGGAGAGGGAGAGAGCAGAGAGAGGGAGAGAGGGGCAGGGGCTTAAATGCCCCTCAGTGGGACTCAGCATGATCTGATTGGTTAGGGTCTTATGGTTCATGCTGATTGGAGGTTGGGGCAGAAGGAGGGTTCAAGCTAGACTTGAGGCTGGACTGTGACCCTGGGAGGCAGGACCATGACCCTGGAAAATAGAAGCTTAAGGGTGCAGTAAGAACTGAAACCTATTGGTGCCATTATTGCCAACAGATTTTAATGGAACAGAGGAAGAAGTTTTATTGGTATGGTTTCAGATTCTCTGTTGCACCTAACTTAAGATTTTTGAGTCTTGGTGTAGTGGCAGATAATATCCATAATTCTCTGAAAGGCTATTAAAAATACTCTTCTCTTTCCAATTACATATTTGTGTGAGGCCAGAATTTCTTCATATACTTCAACCACAATTGATTGGATACAAAAACATGAGGATCCAGCTATTGGGAGGAGGAACTGTTTTTTTTTTTTTTTAAATATGTTATTTATGTTACATGTAATGGAATTGTTACTTTTGTTTGAAAAACATATCAGTAATTACAGTATGGCATACATTAGTAGGTACAATTCCCATAAACAAAAGACCTTTGGGATCCTTAATTTTTTAAGATGTTCTGAGACTAAAATGTTTGTGAACCTTTGTTCACACGCTGTGACTATGAGGATATGTAGCTGAGGAGGGTTGGAAAACAAGGTTATTAAAAGTGAAAGTCAAGGCACTAAGATTTAGGACAAGAGTAGTATTGGAAGAAAGGGGCCAGTAAACTATTAAATCTTTAAAGAATGAGCTATGTTATTAAATCATTGCATAGGAAGGAGTAGATCTGCAAGGTTATATTATATTGGAAAGCACTGAGTTAGCTCACTGGTTTGGAAATTTCTTGATATACTGGCTAGGGTAAAGTTAAGTTGCTGTAATGAAAAGCCCAACAGTAATAAGGTTTAGTTCCAAGGTGAGAGGTTCAGATCAATGTTGAGTCTTCACTCCATATGGCATTCTAGGGACAAGTTTTTTCCATTATATTATTTGCCATGTGTTAGGGTATAGGATCATCTGTGTGATCTAACTGTAGTATAGCTAGGCAATATGTACCCAGGAAGAAAGAGAGGATAGATTTTGGTGAACAACTGGCAATCTTTGCCATTCTCAAAAACAATGGCTATTTCTTATCTCTCATATTTGTTGCATTCTCTGCAATATTGGGAATATTAGTGTAGTAAAAGCAACATATTTTATGTTTAAGGGATGAGGTATATAAATGAATTTACTTGGAAATGTCTAAGAAGGGTTGCTTGTTTATTGTTTTGGCTGAATGAGATGCTGTGAGATTTTTCCATCTAGAAATTTCCATTCTTTATAATTCTTGTGTTTTAAGGTGAGGTTCGTCATACAAATAGATAGAAGTTGAAAGGAGTAGCTGACATCAAATACACGAAAAAACAGTAAAATGTTAGTATCTGACCCATTGGCTGAAATCTTTAACCTTGTTCCAAGAAGAGGAAGTAGAAATTTTCTTTTTGCATAGTGGGCTTGTCTTCCCTTGCTTCTAATTGTCTCTTTTTTTCCCCTGGTGATAGGCTCCGTGTTGTGACAAGCTTTATACTTGCCGGTTGTGTCATGATAACAATGAGGATCATCAGCTAGATCGCTTTAAAGTAAAGGAGGTGCAGTGTATAAACTGTGAAAAAATTCAACATGTAAGATTTTATGACATTTTTTTTTCTTTTTATGGCATTTTTATTAAGATGACTTAAATCTAACCAAAAATTTTTAAATGAGACTTTAATTCAGAGTAAGCAATACCTTTGATTTAGATGTTTAAAAACTTGTAAAAGACAAAATATACTTTTATATAAATTCTAGGTATTTAAATAGAAATTCAAAATATTTTGGTAAAGTTATTTCAGTTTTTAATGACTTGTGTCCTTTTTAGGCCCAACAGACTTGTGAAGACTGTAGCACATTATTTGGAGAATATTATTGCAGTATATGTCATCTGTTTGACAAAGATAAGAAGCAATATCATTGTGAAAACTGTGGAATTTGTAGGTACTGTATATAAAATGTACTTTTCTAGTACATTTCTGAATCCAGGGCAACAATATTTTTGATGTACTAGGGCAATAATATTTTTTAAAATCAACTTTGTTGGGATATAATTTATATCTGACAAAATGCATTTATTTTAAGTATCCAGGATAACGAGTTTTGATATCTCTGTCTCTATATGTCTGTTACATTATTCTGCAAAGTTTTTTCATGCAAAGTTTTCTGCAAAGTTTTTGTAATAATCATTTAATTTTCCCATCAACTACTCTGCTATTTTATACTTGATCTTAGCCAAAAGACTGGGAAGTGATTGTGCAGTTATTTTAAATTTAACTTTGGAATATAAAATATGTTTAATCTTAGGATATAAAATTTTTTATAACCATATAAACTATATGGATTGTTGCATCATAACTGTAAGACATTGCTAGTGAGTTTTTTCATTTTTACAGTTTCCTTCTTTATAATTTTATATACATACCTACCTTCAACATTTGACCACTTACAAGCCATATTTGTGGAGAGCAGATTATGAGAAGCCTATGAGATCTGGACGTAAGCAAGGCGAAATGCAGCTAATTGCTTTTTGAGGCTGAGATTGGCACAGCCCTGGTCAGCAGAACAACTGCTTCTTCTAAGTTGTTTGTATTCAGAGAAGCATGAATGCAGGTTTTTCCTTTTGCAATGTCATGCTCCTTCCTAGAACCGCTGCTACCTGTTTGCCATTGAGTATAAAAGACCCCCTGAAGGAGGATTTTGAATGTGTGTGTGTGGGTGTGTGTGTGCACACCTGCGCCTGCCCACACGGGATTTTGCTTGGGGCTTTTGCTTGAGGGTTTTTGGCTTTGGCTTTATGCTTTGGCTTTTGGGCTTTTGCCTTTTGCTTTGGTTTTTTGGTGGGAAGCTTTTGGAGGGGAAAAGAATTGTTAAAGGGAAATTGCTAAAGGGAAAAGAATTGCTAAAGAGGGGTTGATAGAAAGTCAGCACCAAGAACTTTAACATAGGCTTTAGAAAAGCTAAACTAAAGAAAGAACTTTATACATAGGCCTTAGAAAAGCTAAGGTAAAGAAAAGCCAAAGAGAGATGGGACAGTGCAAGTCTAAGGACCGAGACTTTTAAGAGTTATGCATATGCAGTTTTTAGGTACAGCTGTTGTTTGCATGTCTGAGCGCCAAAGCTTTAAGAAAGCTAAAGAGAGATGGGACAATGCAAGCCTGGGGGCAAAAGACTTTAAGAGCGATTATGCTAAGGAACAGCTAAAGGGCAGAGCGAGTCAAAGGAAAGAGGTTTTAAGCAAGGTTTTAAGGAAGACTTTAGAAGCAAGGGTTTAAAGAACTGCAAGGAGTAAGGCCTTAAAGAATAAAGATAGAGAAAAGAAGCAGTGAGGGTTGTGGATCTCCACCCTAGCGCCCAACACACCTGACCCCACTTTTTGTCTGTCTGTCCTGTGTCTTTTCTGTATCTCCAGTCACCCCGAGTTAGAGCCAGTTGGGTTCAGTAACAACCAGGAGTGAGAGAAATCTCACTCCAACAAGGAAGGGAGAAAAAAACCAAAAGCTCCCTCCAACATTAAGTAAATTTTGGTGTACAAACATCATAAAAGATGGGAAATTAGTGTTACACATCCTCTTAGCAAAATGAGATAGTCTAAGTTATTGTTAACAAAATGTTGATGATTTCAGGTGTTTCTTAATAAATTTTAATTTGAAGTCCGCATTAAATGACTTTAGCTGAAGATACCGTATTTTCTTTAGAAGTATATTGTTCATTTCTCTTTCTCCCTCCCACCCTTTTTTTTTCTTTACCCTTCCCCCTTGTGCTGGGAATGCTTGGCAGGTGCTCTTCCACTGAGTACTTATACCTTTTGCTTCATTCCTTTTTTTGAGTGAGGCCATTCATCTATGATACCATCGTCTGAAAACCATGATCTGATTTATTGCTTTTGGGATCAATTTCATCATCATCAAGAGTCCAAAGCAGTGGTTCTCAACTGGGGATGAGTTTGCTCTCAGAGGATATTTGGCAGTGTCTGAAGACTGGTAATATGGGAGTGCTATGGCATTACTGGATAGAGGTCAAGGATGCTGTTAAAAATCCAATAGTGTACAAGACAGTTCCCTACCATTATGTGATCCAGTGCCTAGGTGGAGAGACCTCAGACTGTAGTGTTGCTCTCTGCTTCTTTGCATTTATCTTCTTCTTTGTCTCAGTTTTCCTGCTATTTCTTTTCTATTTGCCATTACGGCTAAAAAAGGAAAAATTCTGATTTGTCAACTGTGTTCAAGGAAAGCTAAAATATCTGAAAGGTGTCTACTTAATAGCTTCTTCATAGATGATGTAATACTTTGAACAGTGCAAAAAGAAAATGGAAGGATCTTACACTAGTGGCAATTTATTTCATGTATCATCCTTTCAGATGTTTCTATCATACCTTCCATTTTAGTCTCTTGGCTAGGATAGTTGAGAATAGTTGATATTGTGAAAAAATTCCTAAGATACTGAAATATCACAGTGCTTTAAGATATAAGAAAAATAAAATCATTGAGATCCCATATTGTATCAGATTTATAAGAGTTCATTGGACCCAAATGGTAGTTGGAAAATTGAATGAGTTTATTCTATTAAAGTAGATTTTCTCCTTGTTCTTCGGATGATCTTTAAGAAAGATAAGGTAGTAAAATATTAATATTTATAGTTGAACTGATTAAAAAAGAACTGGACCGTGGAATGGAATGAATGTTATATCATAAAGGGTTTTGTAGTTGTAAAGATTCAGAAAATGCTGAATTTTATCTGTATCCTTTCTTGGGACTTCTAATTTGCTAATTGTGCAGGGTAAATCTCCAAGAATGTTGGGTTTTTAATACTTGATCACACATCCTCTTTCTTTTGGTGGCACTGGGGTTTGAACTCAGCCTCATACTTGTTGGGTAGGTGTTCTTACCACTTGAGTGCTTCATCAGTCCTCACAGAACCTTGTTCATATTCCATGGAAGCAAAATTGGGAATTCTCTACTTAACGTATAGAATACCTAAGAAAATTTCAAATAAAAAGTATTTTATAGTATTACCATAGAATGACATGAGTTAGGTTTTAGACAAATGATAATGACCACTTCAAGTAGCTATTGTAGGAGTTTTTAAATCTGTTATCATTGTTCAGAAGTCTTTGAAATGTCTGTTCTGCGGTTGCTTTTAATGAGTGCCTATGACAGACTGAAAATTCAGCCTCTTGGCAGATTTGTAGAACTTTTTTTTTTTTTTTTTGTGGTACAGGGATTTGAACTCAGGTGTGCACCACCACATCCACTTTGATTTGTAGAACTCTTGATTTTTTTTTTAGAAATTTGCTAAAAAATATCAGGAGTAAAACCTATTAGGGGAGATTGACAGACAAATACTATCTTTAGTCAAAACTGACTTTCGATAATCGAAAAATTACTACTATTTTTGTTTTGTTTTTGAGACAGGGTGCTGTTGTGTAACCCTAGGCTGGCCTCACACTTGTGTGATCCTCTTCTTCCAGCTTCCTCAGTGCTGGGATTACAGGTGTGCATCACCAGTATTGTTTTTAAATAATAAAAATTCAAAACACTTTTTAAAAAGTATATGTGCAATGGCAGCATTGCTGGAAACTAACCTCTCATAACTTTTTAAAAAATTCATGTCATTTGAATGTATAACTTCTTATATTTTGTTTAAAACTCAGACATACATTCATATGCATGACTTAATAGCAAAAGTAACATTTTAAATCAGGGAAAAGAATATTAGGGTAATTGATATCCTTTGGAAAACAAAATTAATTAATAAAAGTTTGCATATTCATTAGAATAGTTTTAGCATCTTGTGACAGAAACTCAAAATAATAGTGGCTAAAGAAAGGTAGAAGTTTATTTGTTATAGAAAAGTCTGATCTTATAGTTAAACAGGAGCTCAGGTTCCTCTCTTTTTTTTCCTCTGCTATCCATCAGGTATTTTCTTATCTGTATAATCAGTGGTTCATACTCTGGCCAGAGGAAAGGGGGCAAATAGGTAAAGAGGAGGCATACTCTTTCTTCTTAAGGTCACAACACAGAATTTTGTTTTTTTCTTCTATTCACAACCTCTAGAGAAGTTGGAAAATGTCTATAGATAGCACTGAATAATTCATTGTGTAGTTAAATGTTCTATTCTTGTGGAAGAAGCAGAGAACAGAAATTTAGAGACCACTCACAGTTACCACATATAATAAATTGCAAATGAACTAAAGAAAAATATAAAAAGGAAAAGTTCTTAAGTATGAGCAGTATAGAAAGGAGACTTTGTCTATGATCTATAGTGTACAGAAATCTTCCCTGAACAATAGGCAGAAAGCATAAGTTGTAAAGGAAAATATTGATGGATTTTTTAGAACATTGCAATTAAAAATGGCTGTATATAAGCAAAGAAGATGACAGGCTGAAAAGTAAATGTAAGAAATATAAATGAAAAAGATTAATATCTAGGCTATATAGATCTTAAAGTTGATAAAAGACAAAAATTCCAGTAGAAAAATAGAGCATATCAACAGACAACCTACAGATGAAATCTAAATGGTTCATGAGCATTAAAGTATATGCCACTTATAATTTGAGATAATACTGCCTAAAATGGCATATTTTGTCTATCATATCTGTAACCAGAATTGCCTGGGTTGTGGAGAACAAGGGTACTGTTACACATGGTTAGTGGGAGTGTATCTGACTCAAGTTTCACTTTTATAAATCTTGTATAAATCTTTTATAAATCCAAAATATACATTCAGTGATGTCAGGACAAGGATCATAAGTTAATAGGGAATTTTTTTTTTTTTTTCATTTTTCTTTTATTATTCATATGTGCATACAAGCCTTGGTTCATTTCTCCCCCCTGCCCCCACCCCCTCCCTTACCACCCACTTCACCCCCTCCTGCTCCCCCCCTCAATACCCAGCAGAAACTATTTTGCCCTTATCTCTAATTTTGTTGTAGAGAGAGTAT